TTGACAGCCCTAGTTGTAACCTACTTGCTGCCATGTTGGACAGGTCTCCCTTGAAAAAGAGATCGATGATCTCAATGGGACCATCTGGTTGAATAAAAGTTTTAAAAAAAAAATTATTTAAAGAAATTATAAAAATCGCGATTTTGTCAGTCTCACGACGGTATTGTATTGAGACACTTATTTAGCGCGATATTCGATATATCGTTACATCCCTAGTAAAAAGTTATCACTCGTCGTTAAGGCTGACTTTTTGTGGCAAAGGAAGGCTCTCTGAAACGATTCAAAACACTTTGAGCTTCAGGAAAAGATTTCTTTGTACAATCTGATTTGTTTGTCTTGCTTCACAGTGTGGGTTAAACACAACTTTATTTTGTCTGTGCACTTCAGTGGGATGCATACAGATTTAGCAAGGAAGGAAGCACAATTGGCCCTCTTTCAACATCTTCATGGATCTTCTAAATAGCTTCAAGGTGTCGCCTTTGTAGCTGGCGTCCACGATTAAATAACTTGGATTTAGCTCAGAGCTGATTGCAAAGTGGGAGCGGGATTGAGGGAAATATTGATTTTAACAACAACAAAAGAGTAACTGCTGATAGGATACTTTGTGTGGTGCCTTACCTGTTCAATAACTGTCTCCTTCGTCACGCTGTGTCTGTTTGCAGCAGAGGAAGGGAACGATCAATACGTGGAAGAGTCGGAGGTGACGACATGTGAAACAAAGGCAGACGAGTCAATTCCTCTGAAGAAGCATTCAGCCCGAGTTAAACTACAGGCCCGCAATGACTCAGTTCAGGTACCAGGCTCTCAGTTATCCACCATTATTACCACAAATGACACTGTAGTTATTTTGTCACTGACCTACTGAGCCGTCTTGTTACATCGCTGCATCGTCTTAAAAACTCTTCTCACCACAGGGAAAGAAATCAGCTGGTTCCTCTGGGCTGTTTTTCCGAGATGGGAAAAAGCGTGTCGACTACATCCTGGTTTACAAGAAGTCCAGTCCCCAGGTGGAAAAGAGGTGCACCTTTGAGAAGAATCTACGGGCTGAGGGTCTTATGCTGGAGAAGGAGGTAAAACATGTTTGGTTTTAGAAGACTTGTGTCCTTGATTCATCAACTCAGTTCTCAAAGTCCTGTGTTTCATTTTAATCCTAAAGCCCTCCTTGACCAACAACGATATCATGTTCGTGAAAGTCCAAGCTCCTTGGGATACACTCTGCAAATATGCAGAGCAGATGAACATCCGAATGCCTTTCAGGTAACTGTAGAAAGAAAAAACGATTACAAGTTCATTTATGGAAAGGTCAGTTTTTTTCTGAGTGGCTGGTAACCTAATTCATCCTAACTTCTTCTTCTTCTTTCTCCAAGGAAAAAAAGTTATTTCACGGATTGGAAGAGCAAAACCATGGGCAGGTAAGTAGATTTAAGAATAGGACTATTTTTCTGTGCCGCTCTCTGGGGGCAGCAAGCTGGATGCTTCACTGCCTCTAATGAAATTCGTGAGAGGCACAGCTGCCACGCGTCAGCCGTAATGTGAGCTGTGGATGCTGTTTAAATGTTTTAATACTATAGTTATCATTCAGCTCACTGAGAAACTTAAACTGTGAAAGTTTGAGTGAAACATTTATTGTCCTTTTCAACCCAACCATTGAGTACATTTTAATTAATCCAGGATTAATCAACCTTTGCATAAACTGAGTAAATACACGTTATGCGTCAGGGATTAGTTAGTTTTAATTGGAAAGTAACACACTGTGTGCAGCACTGATAAGGACCAGCAACTAAAATGGTTTAAATAGTGTTTAAAAATCAAGGTTAAGTGCAGTTGACCTTTGTTTGTTTAGATTAATGTGATTAATTAAGCTTTATAACCTTTTAAAAAGCAGAGCATCCTGTTTGGAAGAGTGCAATACGTTAACGCCGCTCTTCTCTAAAATATGTGTAATCTATTAATCAAAAAGATGGAGCTGCACAGGATGATTAGCATAATGTTTTTAGAGGGACGCTCTCATGCTTTGATGTAATGTTCAAGATGCTCTGAAAGGATTACACATTTCCATCTCTCAATGTTGCTTGAATGCGAAAAAAAGAATGACTTTTTAAAACAACTCTATGTACATTTTATTTCTGCAAACTCTACAAACCATCTAAGGCCCTTAAAGAGTATTATTATTATGCTTTTGGGGTTTTTACATCCTTAATCAACACAATTATGAATCTGAAAATGAGCATCATATGGCCCTTTAAAACCTGTTTCTCAATTACAATGAGTAATGCAGAACCTCAAAAAAATCGGTTAAATTAAGAGCAGTATTTAAATATTATCTAGACATTTTATTAGTTTTGCTCATGCCCTTCTAACTACTTGAACAGGAAACATTTCTTATCACATACTTTAATGCGATATCCGTATTAAACAACATTTTCAGAGGCTTCTCATTTGATATCTGTTCCTTTTTTATCTCAGCATTGTCCATCAGGTGATGAAATAAAATGGAAAGGATGTTTGAACCGCACCAATGATGGTAGACTTTTATGTGTAACCTTTGAAAGAGCCCTTGTAAAGCTTTGAACAGACAACGGTTAGTGAAGTGTGATATTACCGGTCATGAAGGATGGCTAGTCATTAAACTGCAAACAGTGTGACTCACGCTGCTTCCACCTTAACGCTCGGTTTTGATCTGAGATTATTGATGATAATAAACAAAATAGCTGCCACAGGACAAAGTAACTGCAATAAACATGGCTGCTTAAGTGTTGTATGATACTTCATAAGCTTTATATACTGTTTCAATAACCTCACAAACACATTATTGATAGAAAATTAAAGAGTTGATAATATGGCTAATTTGAAAATAATAACATTGTGTTTTCACCTTTTTAGATACAGTATTATATGTTGTTTGAATGGTCGTGCTTGCAGCACACACACACCTACACACACAGACCAGACAAAATCGCAGGAATTTCTCGCCCACTTGTCCAACTGAGAACAAAGCACTTTCAAACCTTGTGTGAGAAGCATCTTACGTCACTGTGAACAATGAGTAACGTTATGATTTCTTCACAGCTCCGGCAAAGCTCCCAAAGCTTATTTACCCGAGTAGTAAATATGCTTTATGTATTTCCTAATGGTCTGTCTCTAGCTCGCGTCCCTGTGAAGCTGAACAAATGGGCTCTGTGCAGGAGGTCACAGCTCATTGGGTGGATATCATTACTTTCTGTCTTTTTCACAAGAACATTTATAAAACGCTTTCTGGCTTTGGTGTTTTTTCACCCGAAATTCACATTTGTATTAATTTGATCCATATCAGGTCAAAGCCTGACAAGACAAGAGACTTCTCCAGCAAGTCTGTAATATTCTATATACTCATCCAACTCATGTTAGCTCTCGGAGGTTCATGTTTGTCTGACGGTAGGATCACCTCTTTGGTCCAGGCTGTAATACATCCCAATTTCTGGCTAGATCACCGTGACATTTAGTGCAGCGATGTGAGGTGCCCTCAGAGATTTATCCTTATAACTTTTATGATCCCCTGACTTTTCACACAGCACCAATAATAAGGTTGAAATGTTAGCATTCAGCTCAAAGTGCCACTGTGTGAAGCCTCAAAGAGCTGCACATAGCTGTAGACTCTTACTCTGCTTTGTATGTATTGATTATGAAGGGAATTAGAAATATGGCTGGAGAGGGTAGACAGAGACAGACCGTGACAATAACATTCTAATTAGATTTAATTTAGTGGGTGTGTAAGAATATATTGGGTTTTTGATACTATATTGAGCAGTATTGATTTTTTATTAATCGTTTACATGCAATTAATCATGGCATAGTGCTTGAAAAGTAGTGCCAGGAACTGTGATGGATGCAAATACAATCAGTTAAGTCAAAAAGTGAACTCTTTGTAATCATATGTGTACGTAGATGTGTCTTTAATAATATTGTACAGTATATTAAAATGTTTATTGCTTACAGTATTGCAATATATTGACTCATAATCCCCATAATACCATATTGTGTCACCAGATAACCGCTAACACACAGCTCTACATTTTAGGAAGTCCATGCATGCCTTTACATTTTCTGCTCTTAAATCATGACTGTAATCACATTTAAGAAATGCCTCATGATAAATAAATAATCCTTTGAGTTGGATTTAGCAAGCTGTTCCCCTGGATCATAGGCTCACGATTTATGAGCAATATGAAAATAAAAAATAACATCTGCATAGTGATGCCTGCTGTGCGTGCGTGCGTGCGTATGCATGTGTGTGTAAACTTGTTTTCAGTGGGTGTGAGGCGGTGCGAGCTTGTCAGAGAACAAGGTTGTCCCACGTGAAAGAATTCAATCTTCGTGTTAATCTGTGCCCTTAATCCTGTTTTCCCTCTCGTGCGTCTGTGCAGCAGGTTTCATCTGAGATGCCGACAGATAAAAAGCTGGCTGCCCAGAAATCCCATGAAGCTGGACAAAGAGGCGTTGCCTGACCTGGAGGAAACTGACTGCTACACCGCTCCCTTCAGCAGAGCCCGCATGCATCAGTAAGGAGGACATGTTCACAAGTCATTCAGAAACTCACGCACATGATCAGGGTGTCACATAAAGGCTGGGTCTGTATCAGTAGTCTAAGCTGATATAACCCTAGTTCCCCTCTCACCCATATCATCCATTCAACCCCTGAGCTCTGAATGTGAAATGTATAAACCATCAGTCTTATATATTTGATATCTTTGAGTCAGAACTCTAAAGACAAGCCTATCATAAATAATATATTGAAATGCAGCTGCTGATGTGCATGACACGATAGGATTTCACCCCAATTCCTTCCTGTTCCTTTCATTTTCACTTTGATGAATCCATCTAATCATTTCCCAGTGATTCATATCAAATGTTTTACTTTGCATGTCAACCTTCACAGCTTTTCTTTTAAAAAACGCTGCTGGAATGAAACAAAGTTTTCCCCACAAATTGAGTTTTAATGAGCTTTGCTTCATTGTCTGGCTCCGCACTCATTAGAAGCTGTGACCGGATGATATTGATATATTGTTACATGATGAATAACTGAAGGAGTGTGCTGTTACTTTCCAGCTTCACTATCAACAGTAGAGAGGCCTTCTTCTCCAATTCCACCAGAAGCAGAATAATTCATCACGTGCTGCAACGCACCAAGTATGAGGACGGAAAATCAAAGATGGGTAAGGCTTTCTCTTCTTGCTCTTCATGTACTGAACAATATTTCCACTGGTGCCACATTAGTGTCGGGGGGTTCCCTAGGCTCATTTATATGGATATAACAAAGTACAAGTATCCATCATAATGACCTTATTAGGAAACTTCATTCACTGAGAAGACTCTACATATTCTAGAAATAAATGTGGTTCATTGTATTTAGTGTTAGGTAGAATAATCATTGGATAATAAATACCAATGTGAGGAAATGGAACAAAGGACACAGTAATGCTGTCTTCATTTTTATCGCTGTGTTTTCCTGCTGGTGGGTTTGTGTTTATTGTGTCACTAGCAGAGAGCCATCAGGGCACCACTGAAAGGGAGCAAATGCAAGCTAAAGGGGGAATTATTTATTTGTTTATTGTATTGCTTTGGGAGGATGTGACTCTGACAATTGAGCGGCCCGACCAAGCAAGGAGGCAGAGGCAGCACGTCCCACGGTGGGGGCATTTATTAAATGATCAACACAATGACACACAGCCTCAATCCTGCTGTTGTTTCCCCTGAGCATAGCCTGCAGCCACCAGGATCTCACACACACTTCCCATAACAGAAAAACCCCAGAGCCTAAATGCACAACCCAATCAACCCAACAGGACACAGGTGAGGGGGGAGGAGACAGCACAGGGCACCAGGTGCACACAATCAACGGCAACAGACATGGGGAAAGGGGAACACATTTCAAAACAAAATACAATAAACACTACATCAATAAATTGTATACATTGTATAAAAATGTGCACATATGCAAGGCCCGAAGCCATCACTGAAGTTACCTTCTTCACAGATGATTAAAAGCTTTTGGTTTCCTCCAACTTACGGCTGATCCCTCCTTTCCTCCTGGATGTTTTTGTCTGGATGTTTTGTCTTTTGGTGTCGGCTGTTAAACTGCCCGTCCACTCCCACATCTACTTTCCTCTCTGTCTGCCGCCAACATGTTTTGCTGCGGAAAGTTTGGCCTTGAAAAGCGGGAACCTCTTTCACATCAATAATTTAACACTGTTGACCACTTTTCTCTCAGACAAATAAGATCAGCTTCCTCCCCGCTGCTACAGTCTCAGTCAAGGCCCGGGGACAACAATGGAAATGAGTGCACTGTTGTCCTGAGAAACATTACATCACATTTCTTTCATCACCAGTACCTGCAGCCAATTCATACCGCTTATTGCGATGAGTCATTTCACACCAAGTAATTAGGGTCCAGCAAAAACAGAGCAGGTTATTTTGAAGTGTTTGCTAATGCAGCTTGCTGGTTACATCATGCAGTAAATTGTTATTACTGTGGAAGAGTTGCTTTAAATGATTCTCCCATTGGACCCTTCTCGTAATTGTGACCAGTCTTGAATTTTGTATGTGTTTTTCTACCTGGTATATCTGCATTCTTAACATTACATGCTTTTTTCCTGCTTTAGGTATCAACCGGCTGTTGGGAAATAACACATATGAGGCTGCATTTCCTCCACATGAGGTGAGAACGGTTTTCTTTTTGTGCTGTAGAGATGAACAGATTGTCAAAGTATAACGTTTCTCCTGTAATTAATAATGTTCTTCTCTTTGTCTCGTCAGGGCGGCTACAAGAGCAGACATCCAATTAAGACGCACGGTGCCCAGAACCACCGGCATCTTCTGTACGAGCGCTGGGCCCGCTGGGGGATGTGGTACAAATACCAGCCTCTGGATCTCATCAGGTAACCAACACAGCTTCAGGAGCTCTTTCTGAAGACGTACACATGCTGCAGTGTCCTGGTTATAAGCCTTGTTCTGTCTTTGATCCTCTCTAGGATAAGATGTTTAAATAGAACATGTTGTAACCCAGTTGTTTATCTCCCTGATGATAAAGATATTGAGGTATTTGATCACAGTCGGCTTTCTGAACTGGCTTTTTCCCTCCCTAATGTTTCAGTATGTCGGATATTTCTGAACTCATGGAGCTAGTTTACGGGTTGAGAAGTTGTGGAAGTTTGACTTCACTTAAGTTTAAAGCAGCCTTGGCACTGCTGTGTTTTAGCACAGTTTGACATTATGAAATATGCGCTTATTCACTTCACACTCTCGCCAAGAGTTAGATGAAAAGATTGATAACACTCTTTTGTGTGAAGTACAGATCTGGATCCAGGAGATTATTAATTTAGCTTTGCATTAAGGCTGGAAACAGGGGAGAGCACGATATTTATTAAATTACACATTTTCATGTAGATTTCTTATTGTAGGCAGATTATTTTTACCTTTTGGACAGGCTCATTTCCTCCTGACATTTTAAACATTTGTCAACCACTACTAGAGATTAACTGTTTTGGTGTGAGAGATTTTTAAAAACGGTTTTATTGTGGCAACATATCCCCTGGGTGTGCATATAAGAAACACCTTCTGCGTATCAACCTAAATGGGTGATGATACTGTATGTCATGCTGTGTTCACTAATCTTGTTAATGCATCTTTAAATGGTTACTCAATTAAACATTGTTTTATAAAGTTATAAATTGATGCTGTGATAGAAGATCTTTATCTCCCACCTTTGTAACTTCATTATCCTGAAACTAGTGTGCATATAAACTCAAGTGAGTGACTTCCTCATTGTTAATAGAGTGATGCATACAGATTTAGGAGTTGCCTGATACTGAGCTGATTTACTGGAGCATTTGTGAAATACGTGTCTTGCTCAAGGGCACCGTGACTGCTGTGGTTTAGGAAGAAGACACAGTTACTGAATTATTTCCCACCACAGCATTATACTTCCAGCCCAGCAGCCTCTCCATCCGTTAGAACACCACAGTCAGCCCACAGTGCACTAACGACACACTCAACTTCACTTCAAGTAAACACCGCCAGCTTTAATTAACTCAGTTTGTTGGTGAATTCTGACCTCGCTGTCTCGCTGTCTCTCTGTCTCTCTCGCAGGCGTTACTTTGGTGAGAAAATCGGTCTGTACTTTGCGTGGTTGGGCTGGTACACCGGTATGTTGATCCCCGCCGCCCTGGTCGGTGTTTTTGTCTTCCTCTATGGTCTCTTCACGATGGACTCCAGCCAAGTCAGGTCAGTACACACAGCCTGCCTACAATATATGATTGTATTTTTTTGGGGAAAAATCAATTTGTGTAAGAATCCACGTTCTTATCTTTCAAGATTCTGAATCGATTTTTGGAAATGTTTTTTTACAAAAGAACCAGGATGTTGCTGCTGATGGACAGTTATCTTAAACACCAAGTCTAAAGTGTGTCAGGCATTATTGTGTGATTGGATGAAGCATCACTATGAATATTAGTATAAAGGGTTATTAGTGTTCAAATCATTTTTGAAATGTTTTGAGTAAAAAAGCCAACCTAAACCTACATATTTTATTTATGTAACAGGCAGCACTTTTGTTTTTGGGTCATTTGTTATTCTTGCAGATTACAACTTTTATGTTTTATTCAAAGGTGTTTTTTTGTGCAATGTCAGCACGAATACATGTTATTTTTTGTCTTTGGTTATTTAACCTAAGGCCACCAGACCCAGGGACAGTTTTGTATTGTTATGTATATATTTATATTGCAATGTTTGAGAAACCTGTGACCCAAGTCTTTCATTACACAACTACACTGTAGCTGTGTATATGACATTTAACAAATCTTTGAATTATCAGTGGACCGGACATCCTGAAATTAACACCTCTATGTACTGAATAAAAAAAGTACTTTAGAATCTGTGAATCTTTTTAACTTTGATTCATTTGAATTTGAATAGTGAGATACCTAAAGATCGAAAGCTCTATTAAAATGTGTGAATCGTGAACATTCCTGATTGTTGCTGTCATTTTGTGGTTCCTTGTCCCTCCAGTAAAGAGATCTGTGAGGCCAACAACACCATCATGTGTCCTATGTGTGAGGAAACCTGTGAGCCGTGGACGCTGAGTGACAGCTGTGTGTACGCCAAGGTCAGTACTCACAACATTTTTGTGTGCAAGATTCATCCGCGTCTAGCACCTTACAAACGTGTTACAAACATGTTTAGGACTAAAACGCCACCCCATAAGCTAACTCTACTTTAAAACGTTCTAGAGTATTTCATTATCAAAGAAAGCCTGGAGCTCTAAAGGGATTGTATCTTCTGTTTAAGTATTTAATTCAGATTTTGAAACAAAATCTATATTTTAAAGGTTCAGTTAGACATTTTTGGAAATACACTCAATTATTTATTTTTGTATTATTATATTTATAACTGTTAACCAAGAAGATCAACACTACTTTCATGTATGTCTGTTTGAAGCTGCCTCTTGTAACCTGTTGTCAGTGTATTTACCCTAAGCTAAGCTGCAGGATCTGCCTTCATATTTACCTTACTCATTTGAGACTGGTATCAATCTTTTTCAAGTCTAAATCTAACTCGGCAAGAAAACTTATTTCCCCTAAATGTCAAAATCTTTCCTTCAAATTTCTCATGAGAGCCCTTCTGCAGCACGATGTTGATCATCACAAAGTTCTGACATGTATTTGAGGCTGCTGAAATTGGAAAATGTTCAAAGTCACATTTCTGTTTCATCTGTTAGTCCACCATTTCCAAAAGCACTTTTTCAGAGCAGCTCTTCCTGTGCTTGTGTTTCTAGGTGACCCATCTGTTTGATAATGGCGGCACTGTGTTCTTTGCCATCTTCATGGCTATTTGGGGTAGGTCGAGGCTTTCTTTTGTCCTTTTTTTTCCTGACTTTGTGAGCACTTGTTGTCTGACATCAACTCTATGCTTGGCCCTTTTAGAATTCAAATATATTTTTACCACAGTGTGCCCGAGCTCATGCTTCTACTCTCCACTCAACTCCTTCAAATGCGATGAGCTGAGATTTCAATATTCAAGTAAAACCCTCTGCAATGCAAATACAGAATCTTCCCTCTGCTCATCATTTGTCAGTGAATAAATTGTGGACAGGTTTTCTCTGATGGAACGTCTGTGCAAACTCCCAGTGCCATCCTGATGTAATTAGTCGGATAATTAAACATTTCTCCAGGGGGAGTCGGTATCGTTCGGCTGACAGAGTTGTGGGATTGTGCACTGATAGCAGTATATTGCAGCAATGTTTCCCACAGCTATAATAACCTGGTGATGTAGAGTATGAGCAGCGTCTGGCCCACATCCATCTTCCTGACAGCGTGGTAAATAATCACCTTTAACAAGAGGACACACTTGTGTTTGTGTCTGGGCTAACTGAAAGCCGGGGGGGTCCGCGGCTCTTAACCCTGCATGGAGGCTTTTGGCAATGTGGGCCAAAATAAGACTGTACCGCACCACTCAGTGAGTGCACTAGCTCTGCTGTCTGTGTGAGTATGTGGTAGAGAGAGATATGAAAAATGTGTTGGCCTAAGGGACCGAATGTCGGCATCTGAGAACGTTTCTTCTCTCTCTCTCTTCACACACAAGGAGGTCAAGCTATGTTACACTTCAACATCTTTAACAGCAGTTTAAGTTGTTCTCACTGAGGATTCGCTTTTTGCTGCTTTTAAACGCCACAATTACTTTGTGTTACCTACATTTATCTTTATCACTGTAATCCTTTACATTTACTTTAATTGTATCACAAATAACTGCACCTGTGTACAGCTGGAATATACCTGTGGCAATATGCAGGTATTGACCATAACTGTGATATTTAAACAGGAGATTTTGATACCAGGATAATAATGGACATATTATAATATCGTCTTTCCACTATCCCTGAGGGTATTTATTATTTTTGTAATCTTTTCTACAGTTATGGTTTCAGGCGCACTGTCCACACCCCAACACTCATATTTGTAGTGTAATTAATTTGCCGAAAAACTTGGTTAAAGAAGAATATGAGGTAACACTTTATTTTGATAGTCCATAGTTAACACTCTATAAGTCATCAGTTGACATTTAGTAGCATGTCAACAGTGTATTAACCAATACTCAGCCTTACTATCTGTCGATTGTTTCAACATCTTCAAAATTGACAATCAACAACTCAAAATCAATCTGTCAGTTGAAAGTCAACAGGGTCATGTCGACTATCTGTTGATAATCTGTTGAGAGTCAAGATGTCAACTAAAGATTACATTAAGCATTAGTTGATGATCAACAGATAAGCAACTTTAGAGTTTAGTTGACTATCTGTTGATCGTCAACTAATCTAGAGTTGACTATCAGTATACTTTTAGTCAGCATTCTCCACTAAGCATTTGTAGTACAAATGCTTAGTGGAGAATGCTGACTAAAAGTATACTGATAGTCAACTCTAGATTAGTTGACGATCAACAGATAGTCAACTAAACTCTAAAGTTGCTNTGAACGGCTCTTTGAAAGGAACGGAGCCATAAGATCCGGCTCCCTTCAAAGAGCCATAAATCCCATCACTACTGTTTTTCTCAGACGCGGAGGGATACTGACTTGTTGTGAAAAGTAACTTACAATTCTACCCGTGGTATACGCTCAGTATA